GAAGAAAAAAAGAAAGAAAGAAAGAAAGAAAGAAAACTAAATCAAAGAAAAAATATTGGGCGGGGGGGACCAGCAGTTATTGTCATGGACTCCCACGTAGTCAACTGCGGTTCGAGTCTCGGACCCAGTGGCTTAAACTCACGCCGGATACGTGTGCGTGCGTGCCCAAGATCCCGAGAGGAGAATGGAGGAGGGATTGCGGCATGGCCATCCCCCCGGGGGATGATTTCTTGCTTTCTGTCTCTCTGTCTCTCTCTGTCTGTCTGGCGAGCGCACACACCCTATAGTAAAAACCTCTCCAAAAAAAAAATTTTTTTTGGAGAGATTTTTGGTATAGAGATAGAGAGAGACAAAGAAGTTTATCTTTCTTTTTAAATTTTAATTAATTTATTATTTTTATTTTAATTTGACCAGGGAGAGACAGAGAAATCACCCCCTGGGGGGGATGACCACATCGCAATCCCTTCTCCTCCACACATACATGCGCCCAGTGTGAGACTTAAGCTGCTGGGTTTGGGACTCAAACCAGTCAACTATGTGGAAGTCCAGCTATGTAGCCATTACACCATCTGCTGGTCTCCCCAAAAGAAAGAAGTTTAAAGGCATATCAACACACAACATGAGATTTCTCGTTTTAACCTTTTTTTCTTTTTTTAAATTGCTATAGGTGGGCCAGCAGGTGGTATGGAGGTTACGGTGGCTGGATCCCACATGGCCTACTGGATGGTTCAACTCCCAGAGCTGGTGGCTTAAAAATCACACCAGACACATGTGTCTGCATCCCCAAAATCCCAAGAGGAGAATGAAAGAGGAGGGGCAGTGGCGTGAACCCCACTTTAATGTGTTACACAGCCTTCCTGACTCCACAGTCCTGAGCATCTGCAGAGGCTCGCTGCTGGAAGTCCCGGAGGGCAGGAAGCACCCCGGAGGGAGGACTCAGCAAAGAGCAAGCAGAGGCCAGGAGTGGGCCTGCAGGCGGGCAGCCAGGGCTGGGGAGGAGCTGTCTGACCAGAGGCAGCGAATGGCGAGGTCGGGGAGCAGGAACCTGATGTGATTTCTGAGACTTGGAGAACTGCGAGCATGAGGACTCCAGTAGTTGATGGTATTTCTTTTTTAAACTTATCTTTCTTTGTCATTTTATTTTTATTTATTATTATTGTTATTGTTTTAATTAGACCAGGGAGAGACAAAGAGAGAGAGGGAAAGTGAAAAAGCAAGCAAGCTGCCAGGTCCAGGATTCGAACTGTAGTTGGCTCTACAGGAGTCTATCACCTTAACCACCACACTGCTTGCTAGTCCCGGTTGATGGTATTTAGAAATATTAAATAACTTTTAGAAACAGGGGCCAGCAGGTGGTGTGGTGGTTAAAGATACTGGACTCCCACATGGCCGACTGCAGTCTGAGTCTTGGACCTGGCAGCTTGCTTTCTCACTTACTCTCTCTCTTTCTCTGGTCAAATTTTAAAAATAAATAAAGTTAAATAATATAATTTAAGAAAAAAAGAGAAGAAATAGGGAAGTCATGGTCCAGCAGATGACATAATGGTTATATCACTGGAATCCCATGTAGTCGACCATTGTTCGAGTCCTGGATGTGGGGGCTTAAAATTCACACTGAGAGAATAGAGGAGAAGGGATTGCAATATGGCCATTTCCCCAGGGGCATGATTTCTCGCTTTCTGTTTCTCTTTCTCTCCATCGAGTGGACATGCCCTAGAGCAGAAAAACAACAACAACAAAAACCATCTCTTTAAAAACAAAAGAAAGAGGGACCAGCAGTTGGCGTAATGGCTATGTCACTGGACTCTCATGTAGTCGACCGCGGTTTGAGTCCCAGACCCAGTGGCTTAAACTCACACCAGGCGCATGTGCATGCCCAAGATCCCGAGGAAAGAATGGAGGAGAAGGGATTGCGACGTGGCCATTCCCCCTGGAGGGTGATTTCTCGCTTTCTGTCTCTCTGTGTTTTTCTGGTGAGCGCATGTGCCCTATAGCAAAAACCTCTCAAAAAATAATTATTTTTCCATCTTTAGGGACTATTTTTTTTAAGAGATTTTTGTTTTAGGGCTATGTGCTTGCTAGAGACAGAGCCAAAGACAGTGAGAGGGAACCTGAGAAATCACCTGCTGGGGGAATGGCCACACTACAGTCCCTTCTCCAGTTCTCCTCCCAGGATCTTAGGCAAGCACACACCTGCACCCAGTGTGAGTTTCAAGCCACCAGATCTGGGACTCAAACTGCGGTCAGCCATGCCAGCTATGTAGCTGCTATAGCATCTACTGGCCCCTATCTTTAGGAACTGGTTACTTCTCGCATGCACTATATTCTTCCACTGGGAAAACTCCACTTTGCTGCTAAATCAGTCATAATTTGGCTTCAGTGTGACTCAGGCCACCTCCGGTGTGGCTAGGCCTCTCCAGGGCCCAATCGCAATAATAGAGTCGTATTTAGTACTGTGGAGCCAGGCATAGCAATTTATGCCCATTTATCTAATAGATACTTACAACCACCACCCCGTGATTAGCTGTCAGCATCCCCATTTTCCAGATGAGACACGGAGGGAGAAGCATGTGGCATGTGGAACTTGCTTCAAGTCACATCGTAAGTCATGGAGTCGGAATGTGAACCCAGATTGCTTGAATCCCCAAACCCATCCTTTCTGGAGCTCCAAATATTTTCTTTTGATTTATTTATATTATTATTATTTCAAGGTGCTATAGGGCATGCGTACTCACCAGAGAAAGAGAAAGCAAACTGCCAGATCCAGGCCTCGAACTTCTATCAGCCATGTGGGAGTCCAGTGCTTTAACCACTACACCACTTGCTGGCCCCCACACTAATGGCTTTTCATTTGTCCTTGGAGAAGGTATTTTCCTGTTAAATGTTCTTGTTTTCCCTTTCTCTGCTGTCCACTTTTTACACAGATGAAGCTCCTCCGAAGCCCAGCGCAGTGCCAGGCACGGATGAGAAGCCCGAGGGGGTGGAACGTACCTCTGCTGGTGACCCTCGACCCTCTGCTGGAGAACGCGCTGGTTACAGGCACTGCGGGCTTCCTACCTCCGACTGCGCCCTATGGGAATAGCTCTAGCTCATACATGATGTCATGGCTGTAATGAAAAGTTTGCCCTTGGGCTAGCTGGCGGCCTGCTTGTTCAAGCGGCTGGATCCCACAGACTGACTTTGTGGTTCGAGTCCTGGACCCTAAAGCTGGAAAATGCGACACGAGTGTGTGTGAGTGCGCACCTAAACATCCAGATAGCAGAAAGGAGGAGGGGCTTGTGTTGGGGCACCCCCTCCCACACCCTGGGGGGCTTTCTCACTTCCCTTTCTCTCTCTTCAGTGAGTACACATGGCCTATAGCAAAAAAAAAAAAAGTTTGGCCTCACTAAAAAGAGTGAAAAACAAGTTTATCAAAAAAGTCCTGCTTTTTCTTTCTTTCTTTCTTTCTTCAGTGATGCAACAGAGACCTCTTCTGGTCGCGAAGCAGCAGTACTAGGCAGAGGAAATGAATCAGGGAGGAAAAGCCAGGGGCGGGAGAAAGCGATACGAAGTGGGAGTCACAGAGACCGGCGCCCAGCGGGATCTGCGGTTCTGGCGTGGGGACAGGCGGAGGGCACACTCAGCACACGGGCCTGGCGTGTCCAAGAGCAAAACGTTCCGTCTTTTCTGATGACGAGAAGCGTTTGCTGTAGGTAATTTACAAAGGCAGAGGTTGGAAATAAAAATCGCCCGCAGCGCCTCCATCCAGAAAGAACCCTGGAAACCTGTAGCCCTGGCTTCCAGCACTATAGCCCGGCGTTCTCGTCATTCACAAAAAAAAAAAACTCGGAGTTCGCCATTCGGTGTTCTGTCACGCACCTTTCCTGGACTCTTTTTTGTTTTTTAACTTTTTTATTTTTTGATTTTGCTACGGGGCACATGTACTCACCAGAGAGAGGGAGAGAAGGGGAGATAGAAATCACCTCCCTGGGCAGAGGGCCACGCCACAATGCCTTTTCCTGCAGTTCGCTCTCAGGATTTTGGGCACACACACGCACACCTGGCGCGACTCTCGAGCTGCCAGGTCCGGGATGCCAATCGCACAGTCACCCCGTGTGGGGCTCCATGCACCAGCTGACCCAAACACTTCTAATTACCATGGTGATTCGTTACCAAGGTCCAGACACTCGGGGTGTGTGTGGGAGGAGTGGGTCAGAGAGAAGGGTGTTTGAGGCAGTTGACAAGTAGCAAAAATAATTCCGCATCCTGCAGTTGTTTCAGGTTGGCTCATCTGACTCTGAGAACGGGAAGGGGTGAGTAAGGAGGAAGGGGAAAGAAAGGTGTGTGGCTAGACAGTGGGACTGGGCCAGTCTGCCCTACTTGCTGTGAAATGAACGTCAGGGAGACAGCTCTCCCTCTGCCCCAACTTCATCGCAGGTGTTCTCAGAGCCTGTTTCTTTTCTAAAACTTCTATCAGCTAGAAATCATGTCATTGGGGGCCAGCAGGTGGTGTGGCGGTTAAGGCACTGGACTCTCACATGGCTGACCATGGTTTGAGTCCCGGACCTGGCAGCTTGCTTTCTCATTCTCTCTCTCTCTCTCTGTTTCTCTCTGATCAAAATAAACAATAGTGGGAACAACAGGTGGTGTGGTGGTTAAGGCACTGGAAACTCCCACATGGCCAGCCATGGTTCGAGTCCCAGACCTGGTGGCTTGCTTGCTCTCTCTTGCTCTCTCTCTCTGGCTAAATTTAAGTAGATGAATGAATAAATACAATTAAATAAAATAATTATAAAAAATTTGAAAAAATAAAAAATAAACAATAGTAACAATAAATAAAACAAATATTTCTTTTTTAGAAATTATGTAACCATCTAATGACCCTTAAACAAACTGAACTTGTAAGTGCAATAGGGAAGTACAATGGACTTAAACATTGAGCAGAGGAGAGAAAGAAGAGACGAAACACTTTATCACTTTATTCTTTGGTCATCAGACCAGTCGCCTCCGGAAGCCGTGGGAAATTACGGTGCTTTGGTATTTGGAGAGAGGCGAATGCAAAGGCATGTCTGCGATTTTTATTTCTGGCGGACCTTTCCTCAAGACAACTTTACGGTCCTCCCCGTGGCAAAGCCTTTCGCTGTGATCCAAAAACAGAGAGTCTTCCAAAGGGCCAGCGTGGATCCCACACACGTCCGCGTGCTACGAGAGGAAAGGAGTCCAGTTGCAGGTCAGTCTCATCAAGCGTCAATTTCTTGTTGGATCAGGATGGAAGTTTTCCAAAAGTTTTTCTAACTATTGTTGTGGATAAGGAGGTTTGGCAGACAGAGCAATATCCAACCCCCCCTTTTAAAAAAATAATTATTTATTTTATTTTATTAATTATTATTATTATTTAATTTGCTACAGGGCACATGTGCTCACCAGAGAGAAAGAGAGAGAAAGAAAACCGCCAGGTCCGGGACTCAAACCGCAGTTGGCCATGTGGCAGTCTAGTGCCTCAACCGCTATGCCACCTGCTGGCCTCTCAAAATCCCTTCTCTCTTTTTTTTAAAGAATTATTTTATTCAACTTTATTCATTCATTCATTTATTTTAATTTGACGAGAGAGACAGAGAGGGGGGGAATGAGAAAGTAAACCACTAGGTCTGGACTTGAACCATCATCAGCCATGTGGGAATGTCCAGCACCTTAACCACCACGCCACCTGCCGATCCCCTCAAAAATCCCTTTTCTAAAACCAGTGCTCTGTGGTTCCATACAACCCATCTTCTTGGAAGAACTGTGTGGTCTGCAGGCCCTGCAGGTGATCAGCCTGGAACCGGACTGAGAACTGCAGCTTACTTTCTGATGGGAGCTCACTGCAGTCGCTTACCCTGTAAGACTCAGGTTTCTCAGACATCAAAAGGAGGGCCGGCCCCATAGCCTGGTGGTTAAGGGAGCTGGATCCCACAGAATCAACCCAGCATTTAAAATCTCAGCCCTGAGCACATGTGCGTATGTGTTCAATATCCCCCCAAAACAGGGAAGCAGGAGAGAAGCCACTGTGGTGTGACCATACCCTACTAAGGGGTGCTTTCTCCCTCTCCCTGGCAAGGGCACACCCACTCTGGAAAAATAACAAACAGAAACAAAAGATAACGCCCAGCACCATGGCCTGTCATATTAAAGTATCCTTTGAGTAGTGAGTAACATATGAATGAAAAGCTCTTATCAGCTCTGAAGTATTAAATAGATATGAAGTATAATTCTGCCGTTACAACTGTTGCTGAAGAAATAACAGCTTTTGAGGGACCAGCAGATGGCTCCGTCACTGGACTCCCATATGACTGACTGTGGCTTGAATCCTGGCCCCAGCGGCTTGAAACTCACGCTGGATATGTGGGCAGGTGCGCCCAAAATTCGGAAAGGAGAATGGAGAAGAGATTGTGGGGTGGCCATCCCTTGATTTCTTGCTTTCTGTCTCTGTCTCTCTGGTGAGCGCACACACCCTATAGCAAAAATTTCTCTTAAAAAATAAATTTATCCTGGGAGCCAGCAGTTAGTGTAATGGCTATGTTGCTGTACTCCCACGTAGTCGACCACGGTTCGCGTCCCGGACCCGGTGGCTTAAAACTCACGCCGGGTGCGTGTGCGTGCATGCCCAAGATCCCGAAAGGAGAATGGAGGAGAAGGGATTGCGGTGTGACCATCTCCCTTTCTGTCTCTATGTCTCTCTCTGTCTGGCGAGCGCATGTGCCCTATAGTGAAAATCTCTCCCCCCCAAAAAAAATAAATAAATAAATAAATTTGTCCTGTAATCTTATGACTGGCAATTCCTTTCTATTTTTATTTATGTAGTTATTTATTTAATCCAGAGGGGATGGCCACCCTGCAGTCCCTTCTCCTCCATTCTCCTTTCGGGATTTTGGGCATGCACACACACACACTCAGTGTGATTTGCAAGCCTCCAGGTCTGGGACTCGGACAGCAGTTAGCCATGTGAGAGTCCAGCGAAGTCATCATTACGCCCACACACACACACTCAGTGTGATTTGCAAGCCTCCAGGTCTGGGACTCGGACAGCAGTTAGCCATGTGAGTCCAGCTAAGTCACCATTACGCCACCTGCTGGTCCCTGCCCCACGCTGTTCTTTTTATTGTATGTCTACTCATAGCTATATTAAATGCTCTAGTTTCTGCAAAACGAGGTGAGTATGGGAAAAATACCTTCAGATTCACCTTCCTGAATTTCATGTTTTCTTTCCAAGGCATCACATACCGTCTTGGGATCATCCCTTGCTTTAATGAAAACCGTGGTAAATGAATAGCCTCATACCTAAGGATGAGGAAAACAAGTGTTCCGAGTTCAATTCCGTTGTTTTAGCTTTATTCTAGTAAATTAAAGCAGCCGTGTGTCCACGAAGCTCAGACCCCAGCACCTGCCTGCAGGACAGAGGTGAGCCATCCAGGCACACCTAACTGATAATCCACATTAAATCCCCCAGGATCACAGAATCCAGTCAGGCTGGGGATGGATCTGGCCTCCAACTGGATGTCGTCCTTTATAATTTGCCCACGATGTCCATTTTAACTTGATTTTCATGAAGGCAATGGACCGGGCCTGGCTGCAGACCTGCCCTTCACCTGAAGGAAGTCTGACCCGTCGCCAAAAGCGTAACTGACTTGCTTCTGAATTCGCACGCAGCAGGTCAGACTGCTCTTCTGCATACGCATGTATTTCCCTCTGGAACCTCAAGCTTTCTGTAGAGGTGCCACAGGGGAGCAGTGACTGTCCTCATCTGTGGGCTCTCAGACTGTGAAACAACCCCCCAGCACCCTCAAGTCCTCACCTGGTAACCGGTTTGTTTGAATTCTCAGCGGAGCAGGTGGTGGCGAGCTTCGGTAAGGTAGGACAAGTGTCTTTCCCGGAGGCCATGACTGCCAGCAGTGATGAGATTCTCAGGTGGAACTGCTCCAGCTGGGCGGATTGTGACCCTGCCGCTCTGATGTAACAATGTTTGCTCCCCTCACTGCAGCCCTTGGCGGTGACGTGAGCAGCGGGCGAAGCATGCCGAGCTCTATTTTCATCCCTTCTTGAGTAAATAATTCTTAGGAGTCATTAAAAAATGAGAATGTTGGCAAACACTTCACAAATTTGACAAAACTATTCTAAAAAATAGGGATATACAGGAACCAGCAGTTAGTGTAATGGCTATATTGCGAACTTCCAAGTAGTCAACCGCGGTTCGAGTCCCGGACCTGGTGGCTTAAACTCACGCTGGGTATGAGTGCGTGCGTGCCCAAGATCCCGAGAGGAGAATGGAGGAGAAGGGACTGCGGCGTGGCCATCCCCCCGGGGGTGATTTCTTGCTTTTTGTCTCTCTGTCTCTCTCTGTTTCTGGCAAGAGCAAGTGCCCTAAAGCAAAAAAAAAAAAAACCTCTCCAAAAAAAAAAAAATAGTAATATACAGTGGCACAGGGATAAAAGGTGCCACTCTGGTGGTGTACTGGGTTGGGTGGCTGGATCCAGCATAGTTAGCTTCCGGGTTCAAATCCCAAACCCGGTGGTTTGAGGAATTTACTAGCTGTGTGTGCATTTATATGCATGCCCAGGATCCCAAGAGTGGAAATAGAGCAGAAGTGATTGGGGTGTGGCCAGCTTGCCTCAAGGGTGATTTCTCACTCCCCCTGCCCTGGCGTGCACACTCAACCTATAGCAAAAAAAAGCAAACAAAACCAAAAAAAAAAAAAAACTAAACAAATAAATAAAAGTGTGACACTCTGCAGGGGTGACTCACACAGGGTTTCCAGGTTTGCAATATAGGCAAGCATGTGCCCACGACCCAGGCTCACGGAAACGGGAAGATCACAGTGTCAAGACCCTATTCCTCTTTATACATCACATGCAGTTCGTTCCTGTGGTTTTACTGCCCTTATTCACACTTCAGATGCAAATCTAATTTGCTTAAACCCAAATCAGTCCAACCCATTTTATCCCCTAAGGGTGGTGATTTTGTGGAATACTTTAGATTACAGAAACTCTTAGGCCCAGCCTGGGGGTGCAGCAGGCAGCGTGCCACAGGCCCCACCTGAGCCAGATCCCCACTTGGGCTGAAAACACACCAGGTGTGTGTGTGCATGTCTATGATCCCGAGCTGGAGGGCGGGGGTCAGGGGGGTCAGTGTGACAAGATCCTGTTCCTCTTGCTCTCTTACATGTGCTATCGTGAATAAGACCTAAAAAAAGCAAAACTCATTTGAATGAAAATAGGGCACAAGTGAGCAGCACACCCAAACTGCTATGACAGTAAGGTGGGAGGTTAGCAGCGAAAGTCCTGCGAGCCAGCAGTAGGCGCAGCTGCGCACGGAGGCTTCCCCCGAGCATGCTGGCTTGAGGAGAGCAGGGACTGCACGCACATCTGGGAACGGTTTGGACACTTCCTGGATTTGGACAGCCAGAGGGTTTGGAGAAAAAAAATCTTGACACGCTTTTTTAAAGAATCTTAAAAATTCAAGTGTTGAGGCCAGGCCGAGGGCGTGGTGAAGGCAGCTAGATCCCATATGGTCAATTGTGCAGTTCGAGTCCCAGACCTGGTGGCTGAGTTCTTGTGCGTGCGTGCCCCAAATCCTGAGAGTGAAGTGATTGTGGTCATTCCCCTGGGGGTGCTTGCTCACATTCTTTCTCTCTAAAGCAAAAAAAAAAAAAAAAAAATCAAGTGCTGGGGCCAGCAGGTGGTATGGTGGCAAAGGCGCTGGACTCCCACATGGCTAACCAAGGTTTGAGTCCTGGGCCTGGTGGCTTGAAAAATCACACCAGGTTGGGACCAGCAGTTAGCGTAATGGCTATGTCACTGGACTCCCATGTAGTCGACCGTGGTTCGAGTCCCAGACCTGGTGGCTTAAACTCATGCCGGGCGTGTGTGCGTGCATGCCCAAGATCTCGAGAGAATGAAGGGACTGCAGTGTGGCCATCCCCCCTGGGGGGTGATTTCTTGCTTTCTGTCTCTCTGGCGAGCACAAGCACCCTATAGCAAAAACCTCTCCAAAAAAAAAAGGAAAAAAAAATTTTTTTAAATCACACCAGCTGCATGTATGGGTATGCCCCAATTCCCAAGAGAATGGAAAAGGGATTGTGACGTGGCCATCCCCTCTGGGGAGTGATCTTTCACCCTGTTTCTCCCCAGTGAGTGTACATGCCCTGTGGCAAAAACCTAAAAACAAACAAGCCAGAGGCTGGTGTAGTTTTCAAATGTTAAACAACTACCAGGGTGGGAGGTGGTGTGATGGTTAAGGGTGCTGGATTCCCACATGGCCGACCACAGTTCGAGTCCTGGACTTGGCGGCTTGCTTTCTCACTTTCCCTCTCTCTCACTCTGTCCCTTTCTGGTTAAATTAAAATAAATACATACATACATACACAAAATTAAGTTTAGTAAAATAATTCTTTAAAAAAATAACAAATGGAATTTTAAAAAAATAATTAATTAAAAACAAAACAAAACAAAACAAAAAAACTACTGACTAACCAGGAAGGTGAGCGACAGGGGCAATCTTAAAGAATAAAGTTTGAGACCAGCAGATGGCGCAATTGTTACGTCGTCAGACTCACACATAATTGACCAGGGTCAAGTCCTGGGTGCAGATGCATGCGTGCCCAAGACCCCGAAAGAGAATGGATCACAGTGTGGCCAGTCCACCCCCACCTCCCGCAGGTGACTTCTCACTTTCTGTCTCCGTCTTTGCTGTGAACACACGCACCCTGTAGCAAAAATCTCTCTAAAAAGAAAGTAGCTTCAGGTATTAATACACTTTAAAAACCATAACTCTAGCTAGAAAAGAGTATTTTCATGAGCACATGGCACTTAATTCTTCTGAATGCTGTTGCCTAATGTATTCTACCTTTAAAATCTCCTCTGAAATAATCTGCCAAGAATATTGCTCCCCATTTAGACAGCCTTTCTCCCCTGGGTTACAGTGATCTTATGAAAGGATATTTGAGATTAAAAGGTGAAGTCACTGGACCAGCAGGTGGTGTAATGGTATGCCTAGATCCCTATATAGTCAATGCAGTTCCAGACCCGGTGGCTTAAAACTCATGCTGGGCATGTATCCATGCATGCTCAAAATCCCAAGAGAATGGAGGGGAAGTGTTTGCAGAGTGGCCATCCCCCCTGGGGGGTGACTTCTGGCTGTCTCTCTGGCAAGCACATGTGCCCTATAGGAAAAAAATCTCTCAAAAAATAATTAAATAATAACACCAAAAACAACAGGGCCAGCAGGTGGTTAACGGTGCTGAACTCCCACATGGCTGACTACGGTTCAAGTCCCAGACCTGATGGCTTGCTTTCTCACTTTCTCTCTGTCCATTTCTGGTCAAATTTTTAAAAAAAATTATTTAACATTATTATTTTCCAGTTTGATCAGAGAGAGAGAGAGGGAAAGTGAGAAAGCAAGCCACCAGGTCCAGGACTTGAACCGTGGTCAGCCATGTGAGTCTAGCACCCATAACCACCATGCTACCTGCCAGCCTCCTCTGGTCAAATTTAAATGAATTAAACATGAAGTCAGGAGACCAGCACATGCTGTAATGGTTATGCTGCTGGACTCCCACATAACCGATCACAGTTCAAGGTGGGACCTAGCGGCTTAAAATTGACATGGGGGTGCCTGTGTGTGCATGCCCTAAATCCCGAGAGAATGGAAAAGGGACTGCAGTGTGGCCATCTGCCCTGAGGGATGATCTCTCGTTTTCTCTCGGTTAAGTGCACGCACCCAATAGCAAAAATCTCTCTTGAAAAAAAAAGAAGTCACAGAGCCAGCAGGTGGCATGGTGGTTGGGGCACTGAACTCCCACATGGCTGGACACGAGTCAAATCCCAGGCCTGGCAGTTTTTTCCTTTATCTCTGTCTCATCTGGTCAAATTTAAAAAAAAAGTAACACTATTAAATAATTCTTTAAAAAAATGAAGTCACTTAAAGCTCATTTAAGGACTGTCAAAAAACTAATTTTATTTTTGTATTCTTTATAAATAAAAAGCAACCAGTAACCATTTTCCTTAGTTCCAACTTCAGTGACTGTATTTTTAGGAACCACTAGACTTCGAATACACTATCTGTAAAGAGTAGTTTATAACTGTTGAATTAAACATTTTTTGCTTAATGTATTTTAATATACAAAACCTTATTAAGTATTTTTTTGCTTAATATATTTTGTAAATTATACTTAATTCTTGAAACATCTTAAGTAATCTACCTTTATTTTCTTCACTAATAAGAATGAGTAATTTAAAATTTCACGCAGATGTGAGCATTTTAAATACCTCACTTCCTTAACATAAGAGTCTTTCGTAGGCCGCTGCTGGGAATTATAAATGTTCATGGTAATACACAGGAGTGGATGACATTCAGTATTTAGTATAGGACCAAGTTAATTAGTAAGGAGTCAAAAAAAATTAACGTTAAAAATGATTATGTATTTGAAAAGGTTCTGACATTTATTTACTTCGGAACAAGTAAGTGGAAAAAGCCACCCGTACAAACCCATTTTAATTTTGGTCTCTATCCTTAAAATTGCCTAGGAGTTCTTAGAATACAGAAAAACCAAATTTGAATGCACTGGTAATAGTTTAACAATTGCTATGTCCCCTTAGGATCACTTGACGGAATGTTCTGAAACCAAAGCATAATTCACCACAAAGATAAATCAGAAAAACTTTCATCTTTTTTTTTAATTGCCAGAGTATGCTTATACAGATAAAATGCAGAGAGAGAGAGAGAGAGAGAGAGAGAAGGAAACGCTCCCTAACGGGGCGTGGCCACCTGCCATCTCTTCTCCATCTCTCCGTCCTGTCGGAATTTTGGACACATGTGCACACACGTGCCCAGCACGTTCTTCAGGCTGCTGGGGCAGCCAGCCAGGTGGGACCCAGCTTCCCTTAACCACTAGACTATGGGGCTGGCTCAAGAAAACAAACTTTTAAAGGACATGTTATAATTACCTGGACAAAATAATTATCAACTAGTAATGCTCATATTAGTACATGCAACAGATTGAGATCTCAAATTAAATCCTGTGCTATATACTTTTAAGTATTTTGTCAGACACACTTTTTAAGTTTTTCTAACAGTTGCATTTGCCTCTCCACATATATTAATTTTTATTTCAAACAAAACAGTTCACTTCTCCAGGTATCATGTTTATCAGTGCAAAGTAAAATGTGACGATCTCAGTAGAAATCATTTATTCTGTTATCTTAGAAAGGGCTATTCCTCGAAATGTCCAAAGCGTACTTAAAAGATGTCCAAATCGTGCGAATGATCCACCTCAATGGCTTCCTCTGCATCCAGCTTGGTTTCCCCATGTCCTTCCTGTGACTTCGCACACGAGGCTTTCCCCATGTCCTTCCTGTGACTCGTCAAGAGAGGCCAGGGCCTCATTTGTGTCACTTGCAAAAGTTTCTCGTGACGTATCATCCTCTTCTTGAAAATTGAGACTTTTAATAGCTTGTTTCATCTTTTTCCCCAACACCTGTGTTCTCCTCTTCCTAGCAGCTTTTTTATTTTCATATTCCTTTTGATTTTCAACGTAGAAAATGTCCTATAATGAAAGAACAATTTCAGGAGATACAAAGTACCATCTATTAAAAGTATGTTACAAGACAGGCTCTTTATAATCATAATCTCCATTTCTCACAAAAAATAACTGTCCCAGACCTAGTGGCCTAAAAACATGCTGGGCGCATGTGCGTGTGTGCCCAAAATCCTGAGAAGAGAATAGAGGAAAAGGGATTACAATGTGGTCACTCCCCCGGGGGGTAATCTCACTTTCCCCTCTGTCTCTCTACAACAAGTGCATGCATCCTACAGCAAATAAAAAATAAAAATAAGACACAGAGAAAGATATTTAATTAAATAAGTACCTATTGCCAAGTGAAGACGAGCTATGATTCAAAGACAGAAGGTATGATTTAAATGCAATCTAGTGCTAGGCCCAGGGCCCTTGCTTAGTCTACCAGTGTATTATTTCTATAATAAAAAGTTTCTTTTTAAAAAAAGAATGAGCTTATTTCATGTATTATCATTATTATTTAGCTTGACCAGAGACAGAGAAAAAGAGAAAGGAGGAAAGCAAGCCTCCAGGTTCGAGACTCAAACGATGGTCGGCCATGATGAAGTCCAGTGCCTTAACCACTATGCAACCTGCTGGTCCCAAAAAGTTTCTTAAATTAAGACTCAGAAGGAAAACCACACTGTCTGGAGTTAAAATACAATTTATCACAATAAAACAGAAGTCTTCAGAAATAAAATGCACCAACTTTGAAGTGTCATCGTAACTATACGTGATTGCCCACGGCTACACCTGGACTGTGTACTTATGGATGCTTACGTCACCTACACAAGAGAAAAATCCCAGTCCTTCAAAAGCATTGCTCTAGGGCTAGCAGGTGGCAGGGGGGTCAAGGTGCTGAGCTCCCACATGTCCCATCGCGGTTCCAGTCCCAGACCTGGTGGCCTGTTTGCTAGAGTAGCTCACAGAAGTGCATTTCTGCAGGTGTCTAAAGGTCATACCACGTTTTCTCAGACTGCTGCTCTCCAAACATCCCCACCCCCCTTCTTTCTCTCTGGTGAGCACGTGTGTCCTATAGCAAATTAAAAAAAAAAAAAAAATTATAATGATGATAAAATGGAATGAATAATTCTTAAAAACTTGGTCAAACAAGTTTCTATACTTGTTCCTATCGCAAGTATAAAAACAATATGACCAGCCCTAGGATACCTTCTAGGACGATAGGAGAAAGACTATGTTGTCTGGGGCCAGCAGGAGGCATGGTAGTTAAGTTGCTTTCTCACATTCTCTCTCATTTGGTCCCTCTCTGGTCAAATTAAAATAAGTAAATAAATAAATAAAGTTAAAATAATTTTATAAAGACTATATTATCTGAAAATGAGATTCTTCTAATGCATGTCGAAAGGCTCTAATGTGAAAATCCAAAATGCTCCAAATTCTAAAACTTTCTAAGCATGAAGGACCAGCAGTTGGTGTAATGGCTATGTCACTGGACTCCCATGTAGTAAACTGCAGTTTGAGTCCCGGACCCGGTGACTTAAACTTACTTCGAGCGTGTGTGTGTGTGTGTGTGTGTGTGTGTGTGTGCGTGTGTGTGTGTGCGTGCCCAAGATCCGGAGAGAATGGAGAAGTGACTGCAGCGTGGCCATCCCCCCTGGGGGGCGATTTCTTGCTTTCTGTCTTCTCTCTGTCTTCCTGGCAAGCACATGCGCCCTATAGCAAAAACCTCTCCAAAAAACAAACAAACTTTCTAAGCATGATATGACAGCACATGTCATAGAATCCCATACCTGATCTCAGGTGGTAGTCTGTGGTTAGAATGCTGTACAATCGAAAGCTGCTGTATACACTTAATTTCCAGCGAGGTGTAAAGTACATATAGGATAGAAATAAGGTTTGCCTTTAGACTTGGGACCATCTCTAAGATATCTCACTATGTATGTGTAGATATTCCAAAGTCTGAAGAAATCGGAAATCTGAAATACTTGTGGTCTTGAGCACTTGGGATAAGGAATACTCAGCCTGTGCAGGGTTCTAAATCCTGGCTCTGTTGACATTTTGGGCCGACCAGATGGCTCTGCTAGGAGGCCTGCTGTGAGCAGGAGGAGGTTCGGCAGGGCTGCCACACACACTAGCCTAAGCAGCACACGATCGCCTCCACTGAAGTATGACAACAGTCCCAGACATGGCCAGTGTCCTCTGAGGGTCAGACGTGCCAGTGAACAGTTACTCTAGTGGAAAATATATTCTCTTTAAAATATCAATCTGGTATAAACACAGGACATATAACATAACACCTGGAAGCCTTGGAACAGATAGGAAGATGGAGTTATAGAGGGTATTAAAAAAGAAAAAGTAGGGGCCAGCAGGTGGTATGGTGGTTAGGGCACTGGACTCCCACATAGTCAACTGCAGTTTGAGTCCTGGACCCACTGGCTCAAAAATCAAGCCTGGCACAGGTGCGAATGCCCAAAATCCCAAGAGGTGAAGGGAGATTGTGGCATGGCCATCCCCCCGAGAGGCTGATTTCTCACTCTCCCTGTATTATCTCTCTGTCTCTCTCGGTGAGTGCACATGTCCTATGGCAAACACCTAAAAACAAAAATAAAAAGTTTAAAAAGAAGCTAGATGCACCCCTGAGACCCAATTATACTTCGAGAAGGGACTACGGCTGTAGCCGAACCATTCTCTATTATATTTTAAAGTAAACAAAGTATAAATCCCTCCTTGTGTATAAAATGCACTACAATGGAGGACGAGGAGCTAGAGGAGAGCCTGTCTAGATCTCTAAGGAAGCAGCACCGGAATTAGCAGGAGGAGGAGGAAGGAACTTGAAATGAAGGGGACAGGGAAAGCTTCAGAACGTGCTCTGATGAAGAGAACGAATAAAATTATGGGCAGGCCCCGCAGCCCACCGGGAAACGAGAGGTGAGTCCCACAGGGCTGACTGTGGTTCGAATGCCGGTCCCAGCAGCTAGAAAAACAATACGGGCATGTGTGTGCTCTCACAGGATGGAGAGATGCAGGGGAGGGATTGTGGCATAACCACACCCTCGTTAGGGGCTGCTTTCTCCCCTCTCTGAGAGCACATGTGCCCTGTGCCCACGCCCCCACAAAAAAAGAGAAAGAAAGAGAAGAAAAGTGCTAGCTAAAGAAATGAACAGGAGATGGGGCCGGCAGGTAGCATGGTGGATAAAGTTGCCGGATTCCCACATGGCCAACCACGGTTCAAGTCCTGGACTTGGCAGCTTGCTTTCTCACTTTCCCTTTCTCTCTCTCTCTTGTCACTTTTTGAGAGATTTTCACTATAGGGCACGTGCGCTCGCCAGACAGACAGAGAGAGACATAGAAACAGAAAGTGAGAAATCACCCCCGAGGGGGGATGGTCACGCCGCAATCCCTTCTCCTCCATTCTCCTCTCGGGATCTTGGGCACGCACGCACACGCGCCCGGCGTGAGTTTTAAGCCACCGGGTCTGGGACGCGAACCGCGGTCGACTACGTGGGAGTTCCAGCGACATAGCCACTATGCTAACTGCTGGTTCCCTCTCTGGTCAAATTTTAAAAATAATAACAAATGGAATTAAATAAATAAATAATTCTTTAAAAAAAGAAAAAGAAATGAGCAGGAGCAGAAGTGTGGTACTGTGTGAAGCCTCACAAAACAGGTGTATTATCTTTGTTTCTGGATGTGAAAAACGAGCACAAAATTACAGAACATAGAGGTGTAAGTTCGTAACTCATCTGAGTTATCCAAATCCATACACCTTTTTTCTTTTAATTTGCCAGTGTGCGCCACTGTGCTTTTCAAGCCGCCGGGTCTGGAATTCTAACAGTGCAGTTCGCCATGGCGATCCAGCTCCTGAAACCACCAGGCACAGACCAGGCCCCAGAGCTATGTTCTGTTTTTTTTGTTTAGGTTTTTGCCATAAGGTGTGTGTACTCACTGAAGACAGACAGAAAAGGAAAGTGAGGGAGACAGGGAAGGGAAAGTGGAATGATTTCTTCCCCTCCATTCTCCTCTTAGGACTCTGAATATGCACACCCACAGGCCAGGCATGATTTTCAAGTTGCAGGGTCTGGGGCTCGAACCATGGTCAGCCATGTAGGAATCCAGACCCTCACAACCATGCTACCTACTGACCCCTCCAAAGCTACCTTCCTAAATTCTATGATACTATTTTCATGAAAGTGATAATTCACAATTTTTTTTTTTGGAGAGGTTTTTGCGTGTGCTCACCAGACAGAGACAGAGAGACAGAAAGTGAGAAATCACCCCCCGGGGGGATGGTCACACCGCAATCCCTTCTCCTCCATTCTCCTCTCGGGATCTTGGGCACGCACGCACATGCACCCAGCGTGAGTTTTAAGCCACCGGGTCCGGGACGTGAACCACGGTCGACTATGTGGGAGTCCAGTGACATAGTCATGACACTAACTGCTGGTTCCAATTTTTTTGAGAGTTTACCGACTTTCAAAGAAGCTCCAAAGAGAACTTTTTTGTTTTAAATGTTGCTATATGGCTCGTGTGCTCACTGGAGAGACAGGGAGAGAGAGAGGGAGGGGAGGGGCAGTAGGTGGTGTGGTGGTTAAGACACTGGACTCCTACACAGCTTTTATTTATCTGTCATCATTAACATTACAGTTAGTATGGCTAAAACATACATTCCTTTTTTGTTTGTTTGTTTGTTTTTGGGGGGGAGAGATTTTTGCTATAGGGCACGGGCACTTAATAGGGGGAGAGAGAGAGAGACAAGGAGAGAGAAAGCGAGAAATCACCCCCCATGGGGGATGGCCATGCCACAATCCTTTCTCCATTTTCCTCCCAGGAATACATACATGCATACATATGCACCCGGCATGAGTTTCAGGTCTCTGGGTCTGGGATCAAACTGCAGTTGGCCATGTGGGAATCCAGCAATGTAACCATTATGCCATCTGCTGGTCCCCTTTGTTGGTTTTTATTTGGGCGTGTGCTTGCCGGAGAGGGATAGAAAAAGTGCGAGAGAAAGCGAGAAATCTCCCTCCCAGAGGGGATGGCAACCCCACCATTCCTTCTCCATTCTCCTCTTGGGATTTTGGGCATAGTAACATATGTGCCTGGTTTGATTTTCAAGCTGCCAGGTCCAGGACTTGAACCACGGTCGGCCATGTGGGAGTCCAGCACCTTAACCAGAACGACACGTGCTGGCCCCATTGCTACTTTTTCCCTTTTTTTTTCTTAAAAAATAAATAAATAAAAAGGTTTATTTGGTTCCTCCATGAGCAAGGGATAGAGAGACAGAGACACAGAGACAATACCTACAACAGGGTCAACTACGTGGGAGTCCAGTGACATAGCCAATACGCTAACTGCTGGTCCCAATAAAATAATTCTTTAAAAAAATGATTACCTTTAAAATAAATAAAGTTTGGAAAAGAGAAAAAATAATTATGTGCTAAAAGACCAAGAAAAATTACCATGAAAATAGAAGAAATCCTGATCTCAGTTCTTAAAGGAAAGAAGATGAGACACAAGGTTTACATGAAACGCCTGGGCGGAGTAGGCGGGGGAGAGCAGCAGAGAATGAAGCTAGCGGCTGAGTGGAAATTAGTAACATGGATCTCCAAAGCCCTGGACGTTATCATTACCTTAATTTGTTCCTCGCTGATACTAGGAGTGTTTTTCAAGAGATTCAGAAAAACCCCACCTGGTGTTCTTCTTCGACTACCATTCTACAAAAGAAAAAAAAACAAAACAGAAAAATTAAACCACATAGACTCTTCTCATGAATGGCCAAAGCATCTTTTTTTTAAAATAAGAATTATTCATGTAAGGGGCCAGCAGATGGTGTAATGGTTATGTCGCTGGACTCCCACATGGTTGACCGCAGCTCGAGTCCTGTACCCGGGGGCTTACCACTCAGGCCAAGTACATGTGCGTCCATGCCCAAGATCCCGAGAAGAGAACAGAGAAGAGGCTACGACATGGCCATCCCCCTGGGGGGTGATTTCTTGCTTTTTGTCTCTCTATCTCTCCAACAAGCACACTTGTCCTATAGCATATAAATATATATGTATGTATGTATGTATGTGTGTGTATATATATATATATATAAACTCTTTAAAAGACAAAGACTTGGGACCAGCACGTGGCGTGCGTGGTGGTTAAGGATGCTGAACTCCCACACTGCTGAACGCAGTTCAAGTACCAGACCTGGCAGCTTGCTTTCTCACTTTCTCTCTCTCTCTCATACTCTGTCCTCTCTCATCAAATTAAAAAAAAAAAAATTAAGTTAAATAATTCTATAAAGGAAAAAAAACTATTCATTTAATTTTATTTATTATTTTTAAAATGTGACCAAATGGAGACAAAGGGAGAACAGGAATTGAATATGGGAGTCCAGCACCTTAACCACCATGCCACCTGCCAGCCTTGCCAGGCCTCTTTTAAAATACTCCCTTAAGGAGATAGAAAGAATGCCAGATTCAAAATCCAGTCCTGGGACCAGCAGTTAGCATAATGGCTATGTCGCTGGACTCCCACATAGTTGACCGCGGTTCAAGTCCCGGACCCAGTGGCTTAAACTCACGCCGGGCGCGTGTGCGTGCGTGCCCAAGCTCCCAAGAGGAGAATGGAGGAGAAGGGATTATGGCGTGGCCATCCCGCCTGGGGGCTGATTTCCTGCTTTCTATCTCTCTGTCTCTCTCTGTCTGTCTGGTGAGCGCACGCGCCCTATAGCAAAAACCTCTCCAAAAAAAAAAAAAAAATCCGGTCCTGATTCCGATTCATTGAGTGGATAATACGAAAATCACTACAGTGATTGAGTTTCTGTTCTTCATAAAAGGTAGGCTAAAAGTAATAAAAACGAGAAACCAGCAGTTAGTGTAATGGCTATGTCGCTGGACTCCCATGTAGTCGACCGCGGTTCGCGTCCTTTGATCCACAGAAACATAATAAAATGAAACATGAAAAATGAAATTCCACCATCAGTGAAATTTTATATATAAGTTTTTAATTGCGCTATTTTTCAACAATGTATGAATGATACGAACCTAAAGTAACACCTAAAGTTCATGGTTATTAAGTGCTGGGCGTGCAGTAAGTATTTTGCACGTGTCATCTCATCAACCACATAGGATTAATTTCCATTTTATGAGTGAGGAGACTGAGGTTCCAGGAGTCAAGTAATTTGGATAAATCTCAGTGAAGAGGGACCAGCAGATGACATAATGGTGACCTAGGTAGATTTCCACATAGTGAACTGCAGTTCAAGGCCCAGACCTGGCGGCTTAAACTCAGGCCGGGCAGGTTACGTGTGTGCCTAAGATCCTGAGGGCAGAATGGAGGAGAAGGGACTGAGGTGTAGCCATCCCCTCTAAGGGGTGATTTCTCTATCTCTCCAGTGAGCACACACACCCTATAGCAAAAATCTCACTCTAAAAAAGATACATTTCAGTGAATAAACTACAGACCTAAAACTCAAAACCCGTGTTCTCAAAATCTGAGCTTCCAGGCTGCTCCAGGACTCTGTTGTATTAAAATTTCAGCCTCTACCTTTAACGAGTCACATAAGAGATATGTTGTCGGGACCAGCAGGTGGCATGGTGGTTAAGGCACTAGACATTCCCACGTGACTGACCACAGTTCGAGTCTTAGACCTGGTGACTTGCTTTCTCTCTCTCTCGTTCTGGTCAGATTAAAAAACAAACAAATAAAAAGAATAAACACAATTGAGACCAGCATTGGTGTAATGGCTATGTTGGACTCCGATGTAGTCGGCCGCGGTTTGAGTACCGGATCCAGTAGCTTAAACTCACGCCGGGCACATGTGCGTGCATGCCCATCCCCACTGGAGGGTGATTTCTCACTTTCTGTCTCTCTCTTTTCCTGGTGAGTGCACACACCCTATAGCAAAAGGTCCTCAAAAAAGATAAACACAATTAAATAAATAATTATTTTAAAAAGAGAGATTAAGTTGTTGGGAACCAGCAGTTAGCATAATGGCTATGTCGCTGGACTCCCACATAGTCAACCGCAGTTCGCGTCGCGGACCCGGTGGCTTAGAACTCATGCCGGGCGCGTGTGTGTGCGTGCCCAAGATCCCGAGAGGAGAATGGAGGAGAAGGGATTGCGGCGTGGCCATCCCCCCTGGGGGGTGATTTCTTGCTTTCTGTCTCTCTCTGTCTGTCTGGCGAGCGCACGCGTCCTATAGCGAAAACCTCTCAAAAAAAAAAAAAAAAGAGTGATATGTTGTTGACTACGTGTTAACAGGCTATAATTTATCTGTTATTTTTTTTTGTAAGGAAAGTATTAACTGAATTTTTGTATTCAGTCTACATTGCTGATGTAGATTTTAAATTCTGAAACGTAAGAATCTGATAAATTAAAAATTCAACAGAAACAACTTTATTTCGTTTTTAAAAAATCACTCAATAAACGTATTAAAAACAGAGAGACTAACAGTCTTACCATTATAAAAAGGCCTCCATTTTGTTCAACTTCAGCAGTTTCCATCAGAAGTTCAATTGCCTTTTTGTTTCCAATAATCCTCACTACTCGAGCTATTAGGTCTTTCTTTGGTTCTTGTAACCTAAGAAGAAATAAAAATTCAAGAATTTTACCTTAGTCTCTGATTTAGTCCCCAACTAGAATAGAAATCCTACTCTGTCCTGCATCTTTAATATTTAACCTCAGGATCACTGAAGGAAGCCCTTCCTAACCTTGGGTCCCACGAGAGGACGGTCACCGCACGGCTCCCTCAAGTCTCACGTGGCTTCCTCACTTGCCTTACTGGATTATGGCAGATTTCTAAATAAACGTACAGAAAGACAGAAGATAAAACCAGCACTACCCATCACAAAAATAGCAGACAGATACTAAGCTTTCAATTATTATGCCTCAAAGCCAGCACTCTGGGGGCCAGTCCTACAGCCTACTGGCCATTAGAGCCAGATCCCACATAGCTCACTGTGGTTCAAATCCCAGCCTCAGGCTTGAAAAACTTGCTGGGCATGTGTATGTCCCCAGGCTTCCAACGTGGTAGATAAATGAAAAAGGGACTGTGGTATGATCCCGCCGACACCGCGGGTACTTCATCCTGCTTCCTGTCTGTCTCTGACCAGCGTACAGGCCCTCTGGAAATTCAAAAACAAGTTAGCTCTTCTAACTTCAAAGATGTTGGTTAGCTTTAAGAACAGATAGGCTAGGGGCCAGCAGGTGGCCTGGTGGGTAAGGCGCTGGATCCCACATCATCAACTGTGGTTCGAGTCCTGGACCTGGCGACTTACTTTCTCATCCCCCACCCCCGGGTCAAATTAAAAAGAAAAATAACCATAATAATAATAATAAAAAAATACAAGTTTATTAAAAAAGAACAGACAGGACCTTCCTTCATGGGCTCCCTGACTCAGAAACACAGGAACAGCGAGTGTTTACCAGTGGTGCACAGCCGGAGCAGCGCAGCTCTTGGAACCTTACATGCCTGGGGTAGGTGCATCCTCCCGATAGCATACAAGGTAACACTGTTAGGAACGCTTGCACTTACCACTGAGAGGCTAAAAGCAAAGCGAGCCTGGGCTAAGGTGCCTGGGCTCAGGTGCAGACCAGCACGGTTATTGTTCTTCTCAACAGGAGGCCCACACTCTCCTGGGAAGAGCACTGGTCTAGGAACAAAGGGATCTGCCTTTAGCTCCAGGTCTGACCTTGAGTAAGCCCAGCCACAGACCTACTGGGCCTCAGTTTCTTTACCGGTGAAGGGTTTTGTTTGTAAAATACCTAAGTTCCCCAGTATTAAAAAAAAAAAAAAAAAAAAGCCAGTACTGGCATTAACGTAAGCTTGCCTGGAATGTAAGACCGTTTTCCTACCAGCCATTTTCTTCTTCTTTTTTTGGGGAAAGGTTTTCCAGAAAGACAGAGAGAGACAAAGAGACAGAAAGCAAGAAATCACCCCCCAGGGGGGATGGCTATGCCACAATCCCTTCTCCTCCATTCTCCTCTCGGGATCTTGGGTACACATGTACATGCACCCAGCCTGAGTTTAAGCCACTGGGTCCAGGAAACGAACCGTGGTAGACTACATGGGAATCCAGTGACATAGCCATTATGCCAACTGCTGGTCCCCCCACAGCCATATTACTCTTGAATTGTATCTGTTTTCAAATTTGTAACACTGTTTGTTAGTGACTTAGAGCTAATAAAAAGTTAATCAAAATTTGAACTTGTTAAAAATAAATGACTTATAAGAACCAGCAAGTGGCATGGTTTGAGTCCTGGACCTGGCAGCTTAAAAAACATGCCAGGCACATACATGTACATGCCCAAAATCCTGAGAGGAGAATGGAGGAGGAGGGATTAGGGCATGGCCAACCCTCTCATGGAGTGATTTCTTATTTTATGTCCCTACCTATCTTTCTCTCTGTGACTCTCTCTGGCAAGTGCATGTGCCCTACAGCAAACTAATAAAAATAAAACTTCACAAGTTGGGGACCAGTGTGTAGTGGCACAAGCAAGTGTGTGCATGCCCAGGATCTCGAGAGGAGAATGGAGGAGAAGGGACTGCATCCTGGGCGTCCCCCCGGGGGTGATTTTTCGCTTTCTGTCTGTCTCTCTGGCAAGCACAAAGGCCCAGTAGCAAAAACCTTTCTCTAAAAAACAAAAACAAAAACAAAACCAAAAACAACATGTTTTAAAAAGATATGTTTGGGCCAGCTCCATGGTCGAGTGATTAAGGGAGGTTTGAAGCCTGGTATCAGCGCTTTAAAATCATGCAGAGTGTATGTGCATGTGCACCCCAAATCCACACAAAATGGAGAAACAGAGAGCATGCCCAATTAGGGGAGGTGCTTTCTCCTTCTGTCTCTCTCTCTGACAAGGGTGTATGCTCTCCTGCAATTAATAAAGAAAAGGAAACATTTTGCCTAAAGAGCTCTTTGTCATTCAACGGCAAAGAGCTGCTTAAAAGGCTATAAAATTACTTTATCAGTTCTACACAAATTTAAGAAAACTCAAAAATATACATATAGTCAGGTAGATTCAGAATTAGTTCTTCATATTAAAAATAAAACAAAACAAAACAAAAACAAAACAAACCCTCAGGGCCAGCAGGTGGTGTAGTGGTTGAGATGCTATAACTCCCACAGGGTTGACCACAGTTAGAATTCTGGACACAGTGGCTTGAAACTCATGCCAGGCACATGTGCATGAGGGCCCAAAATCCCAGGAGGAGAATGCTGAAGGGACTGCAGGGTGGCCTCCGCCCTCGCCCCCTGCCCCGGGATTGATTTCTTGCATTCTGTCTCTCTGTCTCTGTCGAGCACATGCACCTTACAGCAAAAAATCTGCCTTTCAAAAAGAAAAAAATCTCAAAAAAGAATTTGTCACGAATGTACATGGGGCCTATTTCCAGTAAAAAGAAGGTATTTGGACAAATCTCTGGGACGAATTGAATGCTCACCTGAAAGAAATTTCATCAGCTACTTTTTCTTGTGAATCTTCCTCTGTGATCTCATAGCGGCCTTTGTAGTTCATTTCCAGTCTGTCCCCTAGTCTGTCTTTGACAGGTCGTTTCCGTTTGAGATGACCTTGCCCATTTTCCTCTTCCTTTGATCCCGGTTTTTTGTCACCCTGCATATAGTCATCTAGCTCTTTATCTAACTCCTTGGAATGCTCTTGAGCTTCCCGCCTGAGTTTCTTAGCAAGCAGATAGTTGTAGGTCTCGGACTGCCTGCTTTTGTCAATCGTGCCCTCCATTCCCAAGATACCCAGTTCCGTGGCCACTGCGTCTTGATTCTGCTCCTGCAGAACGGCACCCCAGATGTTGTTGATCTTCTTTCCTCCAGCAGCAGGTGCCTTCTGACTGCTCTGGCCAAACTGGAAGGGCTCTGGTTTGGGAGGAGGGTTGAAACATTTCTGTCGCTTGCGTTTCCAAAGCGAACTATCATCATCTGAATCAGAAGCGCTCTCTTCGCTGGAATCCACACTTTTCACAGTCCGATAATGTGATACGGGCGCGCACGCTGCTGTGGTGCTCTGGAAGGCCCTCACAGCACTGTCTCCACTCAGCACCTTCTGCAAGAAAAAGGAAATACCATCGATTCCTCAAGCATATTAACCCACCCACCATGGCCTTTTTTTTTTTTTTAAGGAAATTTACTTAGAGATTATACTGGCCCATTCTGAAACAGAATCTGACTTCAAGGACATCTCTGAACTTAATCCTGTCCCTAATGTGCTCAAGTTCTAAATGGCAGTTATTAGAAAAGTCATGATTTTTTTGGGGGGAGAGGTTTTTGCTGTAGAGAGACAGAAAGCGAGAAATCACCCCCCAGGGGGGATGGCCACGCCACAATCCCTTCTCCTCCATTCTCCTCTCGGGATCTTGGGCACGCATGCACACGCGCCCGGCGTGAATTTAGGCCTCCGGGTCCGGGACGCGAGCCGCAGTCAACTACATGGGAGTCCAGCGACATAGCCATTACACTAACTGCTGGTCCCATGATGTATTTTTTTGATACAAAAACGCCCAATGACTTTTCCGATGACCCAAAAGTTCTAAAGCCTCATGCTAAAAATATCACTAAAGGCCTCAATTCTTACCTCTAAGGTTTCAATGTTTTCAGTTTTTATTGGAATGCTTGCAAATGACACATGCACTTGTACCTGGCAGTTAAAAGATGTTTTTTCTTTTCTTTTTTTATAAGAGGGTTTTTTGTTATGGGGCGCATGCACTCACAGGTGAGAGATAGAGACAAAAAGTGAGAAACCACCTGGGGGGGGGATGGCCACCTGCAATCCCTTCTCTTCCATTCTCTTAGGATTTTGGGCACGCACACACACGCCTAGCATGAGTTTTAAGCTGCCAGGTCTGGGACTCGAACCACGGACTACTAGATGGGAACCCAGCGAAGTAACTATTACACCATCTGCTGGTCCCAGAGATTTTGTATTTTCTCCAAGGATGCCTGCCTTGTATTGGACACAACAATTTTGTTTATACGTGTTTGTGGCTATACTCCTTTTAGATAAGATGGTAAATTCCCACGGGTAGGAATTCCTGAGGTATTACTTTTATTTTCTTTTTTAAGGGCTTTGCCATAGGGCGTGTGTGTGTGTGCTATGAGAGGAAAAATGAGAAATTACCCCCCAAGAGCAGAAGGCCACACCACAATCCCTTCTCCTCCATTCTCCTGGGATTTGGGGTACATGCACACATGCGCCCAGCTTGAGTTTCAAGACGGGGTCTGGGACTTGAACTGCAGTCCACCCTGTGGGAGTCCAGCACCTCAACACCCTGCCACCTGCTGGTCCCCTTGACATACTACTTTTAAAAAGTGTCCACTGTGTTACATTTTACCAGGTCATGAAGCAATTTATGTAAAACCACCCAAAAGAAGGTGTCATTCCGTGTGTAAGGAGTCACCTCAGCTTACACACGCGGGCATTTGTTGAGGTCCTGCTTTGTGCGAAAAATAAGAAATGGGGGTTGAGTGATTTAAGTCAACAGGATGGTCCCCTCATCTTACAACTGTGACAGCTCATGGGTGTCGGGCATCGCTGTGTACAGCATCCTCCAGGAACCCTTAGGACAACCCTACCCGTGGTGCATCATGCCAACCCTACAGATGGGGACACAACAGGTCACACACACCGTGGCGCCCCAGGATCCGAATGCAAGCAGCGTGGCACCAAAGCCTTCTCAAAGGGGGCAAACTCCCATTTAGAAAACAGGGAAGCTACTAAGCAAGGGTCTCCCAACAGTTAACGGAAAACGCGTATTATGAGAAAACGACGCCTATTTTTTTTCTATCAAAATAAAGTGGTACTTTTAACTCTCTTTTTCAACGCACTTTGCGAGGTAGGCTCGTCCAAAACCGGAGCCCGGCACCGCACGGCACGGCTGGGCTGCGGGAATTTGGAAGCCGGGCCCGGGGCGCGCAGCAGCTAACTTCCTGGGCCTCGGGCTCCCCATCTGCTCGGCGGGACGGGCGCCCGACGGGCCGAGGTCTCCCGTCTCCACGTTTCTGGTACAATCTGCCCTTCCGAGGCTGCCCGGCGGCGCCGGGGCGGGAAATCCGTTACGGTGGAGGACGAGGAGCAGCTCTCGGCGGAGGGGCAGGAGCCGCCCAGGGAGCGC